TATGTAGGCCGTTGTTATGAGTGTGGAGTGAGCATACAGTACAACGTTAGCTTAGCCTGGTCGACCCAATCTCCATTCAGAAAACAAGCATTTAAAAAGGTTTTTTCGCCTGCCGTCTGTCTGCAGACTTGTCAGAGCATTAATTCATGGTTTTTAATAACCGGTATCAGTATGTTGTTACGTCGGCATCATTTAGAAACGTGTAATACAATTTAATCACGGTAAAATATGTTCATTTTGTTGTAGCTCCCGAGCCAGCGCGTCTTGTTTGAATGATGCGAGTAAACACAGCTGGCAGCCGTGGTGAAACTCAGCGACTAGAGCGATGCGATAGGAGCGTTTAGAGCGAAGCGAATATTCGCATCGCGTCCGGTGTGAACGCACCATAAATGCTACGTTCACACCGGACGCGATGCAATGTTTGGGGGCGGCGCGATTACATGTAAAGTCAATGCAGAGACGCGATCAGACGCAAATTCGCTCCGACGGCGGGCATGAAGCGGTGGACGCGGTGCGAATCACCCGATTGAGGCGATTGAAGGGGGCCGCGTCAAACGCGAGAGTTCAATTTTTTCAACTCGGGCGTCAAATTCCCGTGACGCGTTCTCGCAGAAGCCAATCAGCGGTGAGGATCTCAGCCTGCCGTCACTGACGTTCAACCAGAAAACATCAGCCATTAGCTATTAGCAGTTAGCACACAGAGATCACAGCTCCTCATATCTGTTCAGAAACTGTACAAAAGTTAAACAAAAACAAACCACAGACTGTCTGTGTCATGGCGAATACAGTCGCTGGTTTATTTATGTATGTAGGCCGTTGTTATGAGTGTGGAGTGAGCATACAGTACAACGTTAGCTTAGCCTGGTCGACCCAATCTCCATTCAGAAAACAAACATTTTAAAAGATGTTTCGCCTGCCGTCTTGTCTGCAGACTTGTCAAGCATTAATTCATGGTTTTTACTAACCGGTATCAGTATGTTGTTACGTCGGCATCATTTAGAAACGTGTACTACAATTTAATCACGGTAAAATATGTTCATTTTGTTGTAGCTCCCGAGCCAGCGCGTCTTGTTTGAATGATGCGAGTAAACACAGCTGGCAGCCGCGGTGAAACTCGAGCGACTAGAGCGATGCGATAGGAGCGTTTAGAGCGAAGCGAATATTCGCATCGCGTCCGGTGTGAACGCACCATAAATGCTACGTTCACACCGGACGCGATGCGATGTTTGGGGGCGGCACGATTACATGTAAAGTCAATGCAGAGACGCGATCAGACGCAAATTCGCTCCGACGGCGGGCATGAAGCGGTGGACGCGGTGCGAATCACCCGATTGAGGCGATTGAAGGGGGCCGCGTCAAACGCGAGAGTTCAATTTTTTCAACTCGGGCGTCAAATTCCCGTGACGCGTTCTCGCAGAAGCCAATCAGCGGTGAGGATCTCAGCCTGCCGTCACTGACGTTCAACCAGAAAACATCAGCCATTAGCTATTAGCAGTTAGCACACAGAGATCACAGCTCCTCCTATCTGTTCAGAAACTGTACAAAAGTTAAACAAGAACAAACCACAGACTGTCTGTGTCATGGCGAATACAGTCGCTGGTTTATTTATGTATGTAGGCCGTTGTTATGAGTGTGGAGTGAGCATACAGTACAACGTTAGCTTAGCCTGGTCGACCCAATCTCCATTCAGAAAACAAGCATTTAAAAAGGTTTTTCGCCTGCCGTCTGTCTGCAGACTTGTCAGAGCATTAATTCATGGTTTTTAATAACCGGTATCAGTATGTTGTTACGTCGGCATCATTTAGAAACGTGTATTACAATTTAATCACGGTAAAATATGTTCATTTTGTTGTAGTTGTAGCTCCCGAGCCAGCGCGTCTTGTTTGAATGATTCGAGTAAACACAGCTGGCAGCCGCGGTGAAACTCCAGCGACTAGAGCGATGCGATAGGAGCGTTTAGAGCGAAGCGAATATTCGCATCGCGTCCGGTGTGAACGCACCATAAATGCTACGTTCACACCGGACGCAATGCGATGTTTGGGGGCGGCGCGATTACATGTAAAGTCAATGCAGAGACGCGATCAGACGCAAATTCGCTCCGACGGCGGGCATGAAGCGGTGGACGCGGTGCGAATCACCCGATTGAGGCGATTGAAGGGGGCCGCGTCAAACGCGAGAGTTCAATTTTTTCAACTCGGGCGTCAAATTCCCGTGACGCGTTCTCGCAGAAGCCAATCAGCGGTGAGGATCTCAGCCTGCCGTCACTGACGTTCAACCAGAAAACATCAGCCATTAGCTATTAGCAGTTAGCACACAGAGATCACAGCTCCTCATATCTGTTCAGAAACTGTACAAAAGTTAAACAAGAACAAACCACAGACTGTCTGTGTCATGGCGAATACAGTCGCTGGTTTATTTATGTATGTAGGCCGTTGTTATGAGTGTGGAGTGAGCATACAGTACAACGTTAGCTTAGCCTGGTCGACCCAATCTCCATTCAGAAAACAAGCATTTAAAAAGGTTTTTCGCCTGCCGTCTGTCTGCAGACTTGTCAGAGCATTAATTCATGGTTTTTAATAACCGGTATCAGTATGTTGTTACGTCGGCATCATTTAGAAACGTGTATTACAATTTAATCACGGTAAAATATGTTCATTTTGTTGTAGTTGTAGCTCCCGAGCCAGCGCGTCTTGTTTGAATGATTCGAGTAAACACAGCTGGCAGCCGCGGTGAAACTCGAACGACTAGAGCGAAGCGAATATTCGCATCGCGTCCGGTGTGAACGTAGCATAAACGCTATCGCATCCCTCTAGTCTATTTATTATTATTATTATTTATTTATGCATCAAAGATTTAACACATCCTATTGCTATTTCCAGTCCAACATCAAGTCTAGTCCGATGAGTTTGTACAATGCTTGGCTGCAGAGCATGATTTTAAATGACAGAAAATACTTTTCTGTAGAAAAAACAGCGTATCTACAAACTATTGCCAGATAAATGTCTGGATCTAACAATGTTATGCAATGCAATAAACAGTCTTAGATGATCAGAGAGTAACTGTGTTTCCCCAATGCAAGCAGTGAACCATAGTTAGAGGCGTATTCTGAACTTTGTCTCTGTTGATAAACAGCTCGAGGAGGGCGATCCGAAACATTCCCCCTGAAACTGGATAGACCCAGAGCTGACAGAACTAGGCCGTACTCTACTGAAGGTCAATATCCACGTATCTGTGTCTGACAGCAATTAAGCAATGAAGACTGTGGGCAGACGAGCTACTGGTTAGCCTTAACTAATGCAATGATCACATGCAGCACTTTTTTATTAATCCAGAGAAAACATCAAAAATGGTCCATCATTTACTTCTTAAACTAGAGATATTCATAAAATCATTAAACTGGCATATCTCTCTTTCTATATCAGACCACATGACTCTGCCCCACTTGAACCGACTGTTGCAGTGTTGCCAACTCCATAGTAAGGAAAGTAGCTATTGGCTGTCCGAAAGTCGCCAGAAGTCGCTAAATGACGTCATCGCCTAATTTGCATATCATGTAATGGCGGCTGTAGGCAAAAAACGTTCCCAACCCTTCAAGGATCAAAACTTGAAACCACCGGAGTTAAATCCAGACGACAGTAGATCAGAAATGTCTTTGCCTTTTGAGTATGTTTTGGGGTTTTAACATGACAGTTTGGCATAGAAATCCCCCTTACAATAAAGGCAGTATGCCCGTGTGTCATCTCCAATAAATGGCTTCAACCATCCTTTATACTCAGGGTTTGATTCCCACTCCTTTCTGTATTTTTGAGAATACAATTTAGACTGTGCCATGATGTTTAGCTTGTCACAGAGAGGCACACACACAGTGGACGAGGTGATTGAGTGACTGAGGCTGTGTGAGGCAAAGAAAAGCAAAGGCAGTTATTTATTATAGTGTGAAAGTGAGTGAAGAAACATTTACATTCAACATTTAAATCCCGCTCAAAACCAGGACGGCTTGGCGTTGGCGCATGCGCATTGCGCAATTCATTTGCAGTCTCGACGCGGGGGAGTGTGGTTGTCTCCTCTCTGCTCTGACTGCAGCAGCAGCTCTGCTGCGGCCAGGCAACTGTCAGTCTGAGCGCCTGTGAGTACTATGGGAGGGAGGCGGGGCTCACGGCAGCACCCGCGGCTCGTTAACTGCAGAACAATGTGAGTCTCCAAACACCAGAAAAGTCGCTAATAACACCATTATAAATCGCTAGATTAGTCGTTAGTCGCTTTTGACACAAATAAGTCGCCGGAGGGTTTGGAAATCCGCCAAATTTAATGAGAAAATCGCCAAGTTGGCAACACTGGACTGTTGCCCATGCCTTGATCTGTGAGCTCGACTGTGTTGCGCAATGTCCAAACAGACATGGGCTAATTATCCATGAATTTGGCATCAAATTTAAATCCACCCATATTTCATTTTTCATTTTTTCATTTTTTTTTTATTTGTCCCGCTCATGGTACGCAAAACCAAATGTACAATAATTGCCACAAAACATGACTCTACCATTTAGCGAAAAGGAGCAGGGAGAAGAAAAAACACAAAACACCACCAAAACATCACATGTATAAGGAAAAGAAAAGTGCAACACCCTCATCTGAGTCCTACTGGAGAAGAAGGTGGAAAGCGACACATGATGATTGTTACGTGCTGTAGTGTTTGTGTGGTCGTGTGTGTGTTTTTCTCTCTCTCCCTCTGACTCCCCAGGTGCAGCCTGATTGTCCTCAGGTGCAGCCTCTCCCCAGGTGCTCCCAATCCCCAATCAGGGCCTCCAAATAGAACAGGAGGAAGGTTGCTGTCTCTCTCTCTCCCATTCTCCCCGGGCTGGATGTGTGCAGCGTGGTGTCCATGTCTCCAGCATATAGTTTTGTAGCTAGAGTTGTTTTGCAAGTTGGCTGGTGAGCCGTGTTCATGTTTGTTCATTAAACGACTGGATCGTTACTCAGAGATCGGTTTTTTGTCGTGCTTGGTCATCCTGGTGTGTTGTTACTTCCCTTTGTACCCCCTAGATTTAGAAGGGAACGTAACATGGGGGCTCGTCCAATCTTTCAGAAAAAGAGTGAGTATTTGTTTGTGGTTTAGTGTGTTTGGTAGCATTGACTTCCTCAGTTTAGACAGGGGAGTGTCTAGCTGGGCTGAATCAGTCCTTCCTTCAGGCACTCATTTTTTATTTTGCCTTTTTTATTTTCGGGGTAATCCTGGGTGGGGATTTATTCCCTGTTGGGGGCAGGCGATTCAGGGTTTCGGCCGCTGATGTTTGCCTTTAAAGTCGCCTCGAGCCCGGCACGCCCCAGAAGATAGTTAGGTAAGTTTGGTAGGCAGGATCTGGGGAAGTTTGTAAATAAATAAATAATAATATTGTAAGTAGCCGTTGCTAAGGATGGCTTTTGTTTTGGAGCAGTTTGTGGCCAGTCCTACTGTGGGGCAGCTAGACTGCTGTAGGAAGGTTGATTTGCGGTTAGTTGCTGACCATTATCACGTTTCTGTCTCCTCTGCTCTGGTAAAAAGTGAACTCAAGGCTACTTTGATAACTGGACTAGTTGAACAGGGGGTTTTGAGGCGGCCTACTTTAGTGGAATCTCCTGGCACGATGGTTCAGAGTGCTACGGAACAGGCAAACATTTTCACCACACCTCAGTTTGACTCGGTTTCGGCAGGATCCTCACCTACGGGGTCTAAATTAGATGCCAGGGTAAAAGTGCGTATGGCTATTCTCCAGTGTGAGAGGGAGGAGCGTGAGCGAGAGTTTCAGCTCAGGAGGGAGCTGGAGATCAGGAAGCAGGAGCAAGAGCTGGAGATCAGGAAGCAGGAGCTGGAGCTGGAGATCAGGAAGCAGGAGCTGGAGCTGGAGATCAGGAAGCAGGAGCTGGAGGCAGACACTGCTGTCCGGATGCGTCAGCTAGAGCTCCAAGCAGCTGTGGTGGGTGATTCTGCAGTTACACCTTCTGGTCCTGCTGCCTCCTTTGACGTGAGCAGGCATATTTCTTTGGTCCCTGTGTTTCGTGAATCAGAGGTCGATGTCTATTTTGGTGCATTTGAGCGCATTGCTGCTGCCCTGCACTGGCCAGAAGACGTGTGGGCTATTCTGTTAGTGCAAGCTAGTCGGCAAGGCTCAAGAGGCTTGCTCTTCTCTTTCTGTCGAGGATAATTTGGTGTATGACAAGGTGAAAGGTGCTATTCTCAGGGCATATGAGCTGGTGCCTGAGGCCTACAGGCAGCGTTTTCGCGGCCTGAAGAAAACTTCTGGCCAAACGTATGTGGACTTCGCGAGGGAGAAGAAAGCCCTCTTTGACAGGTGGTGTAGAGCGTGTAAAGCTGATGACATTGCTTCAGTGTGCGAGCTAATGATGTTAGAGGAGTTTAAACACTGTGTACCGGAGCGTACGGTAGTCTATTTGAATGAGCAGAAAGTGACTACCCTTCAGCAGGCTGCCATTATGGCAGACGAGTTTGCGCTGATACACAAGAGCGTTTTTTTTCAGCGTGATCCTCCTCAGCGGGACACTTATCGAAGAGCTCCTGATAATTACGTTCCCGGTGCCAGTGTTCCATTGTTAGGTCCCAGGATAAACAGAGCTTGTTATTTTTGTCTGGACCCAGGTCATATGATAGCAGACTGTGCAGCCTGGAAGAGAAAGCAGACAGTGGATGGCAAGCGCCCAGAAGGGGTGGGTTTGGTTACAGCAGTGTGTCCTAGTGGACGGGCCACTGTTAACAAAGGGCCTGATGAGTGTTTGAAACCGTTCATCTCTACTGCCTTTGTCTCTCTGTCAGGAAAGGTGGAGGACCAGCGGCAGGTCACGGTGTTGAGAGACAGTGGTGGCTCACAGTCATTCATCCTTGCCGGTGCCCTGCCCCTGAGTGCTGAGTCTGCCTGTGATGCGGATATGGTGGTGAGAGGTATTGGGATGGGTTCTGTGCCCGCACCTCTTCACAATGTCCATGTCCAGTCTGAACTGGCTACTGGTTTCTTTCCAGTTGCTGTGCTCCCCAGGTTTCCTGTCGACGGTGTGGATGTCATAATGGGTAACGATATAGCCGGGGGTAAAGTGTATCCTCAGGGCAGTTATCCTCACTGTAGGGCTCGTAACAGACGTGTCACACGTGCTCAGTCTGTTTCTCTCCCAGGTCCCGACACTAGGAGATTGTGTTTCTTTTGTCTTGACCCTGGTCATTTGGCGGCGGAGTGTGATGCTTGGAAGCAGCAGGTGGCAGCTTCCAAGCATCCAATGGTATGCTGGTGAACTGGGTGGTGGGTGTTGTTGGTAACTATGACCAAACACTTGTTTGGTTTTATGGGGGGAAGTGTTACGTGCCGTAGTGTTTGTGTGGTCGTGTGTGTGTTTTTCTCTCTCTCCCTCTGACTCCCCAGGTGCAGCCTGATTGTCCTCAGGTGCAGCCTCTCCCCAGGTGCTCCCAATCCCCAATCAGGGCCTCCATATAGAACAGGAGGAAGGTTGCTGTCTCTCTCTCTCCCCTTCTCCCCGGGCTGGATGTGTGCAGCGTGGTGTCCATGTCTCCAGCATATAGTTTTGTAGCTAGAGTTGTTTTGCAAGTTGGCTGGTGAGCCGTGTTCATGTTTGTTCATTAAACGACTGGATCGTTACTCAGAGATCGGTTTTTTGTCGTGCTTGGTCATCCTGGTGTGTTGTTACTTCCCTTTGTACCCCCTAGATTTAGAAGGGAACGTAACAATGATAATAACAATAACAACAATAACAATGGCAATGGGACCCGCAAATACAGAGGAGACATCACATCAAAGACATCAAAAACATGAAGGACCGGAGTACATAGACTTATTCACATTCTGCTTCATATAGTCCCATCTTTCTTAATTTATACAACTTCTTTAACTGAAAAATACATATACAATTCTTTAGATCCTTGTGTTGAGAATTCCACAATTGTACACCAACTACCGAAATACACATTTGTTTAAGAGTAGTCCTTGCATATGGATGCTTAAAATTTAATTTCCTTCTGTGGTCTTCCTTGTCTGATCCAAAAACAAACAACTGTTGTAAACATGCTAGTAACATTCTGCTTTTTGCCCTGTGCATTACTGATAATGTCTGCAGCTCAGCTATGTCTCTGAGTTTCAAGAGTCCTGACTTAAAAAACAGTCTGTTGGTGTGTTCTCTTGAGTCAGCTTTATGAATTATTCTTACTGCCCTTTTCTGTAATATTGACAATGGCTTTATGTTGCTCATATACGTGTTGCCCCACACTTCTATACAATAAATGAAAAATGGCAAAATGAGTGAACAGTACAACATCCTCAATGCCTTGTAATCTAGCAAATACTTTGCCTTGTTTAGAACAGAAATATTCCTAGACACTTTGGTTTTAACATGTGCTATGTGTGATTTCCATGTCAGGTTTTCATCCAGCGTCACACCTAAGAATCGAAATTCAGAAACCCTTTCAATAAAAACTCCATCAATGGACAGTGAAATGTTTTTTTCTATTAGCAAAAACCATAAACTTCGTTTTATTCAAATTTAGGGTTAACTTATTTTCATCAAACCATCTTTTAAGTTTGACCATTTCATGTCCAATACACTTTGCTAAAATGTTTAAGTCATCTCCAGAACAAAATAAATTTGTGTCGTCTGCAAACAACACAAATTGCAATAATGTTGACGTTTCACACATGTCATTGATGTACAAAATAAAAAGTTTAGGCCCTAAAACCGAGCCCTGCGGGACACCACATTCTATGTTCATACACTCCGATGTACTACCAGCAAATTCTACATATTGTTGTCTGTTATCTAAATAACTTTTTAACCAATCTAGAACTACTCCTCTCACTCCGTATCTATGTAATTTCGAAATTAATAGGTAATGGTCTATGGTGTCAAATGCCATTTTTAAGTCAATAAATACACCTATTGTGTATTTATTTATTTCTATAGCTGTTGTAATTTCTTCTGTTATTTTCATTAAAGCTAAAGCTGTAGATCGATTTTTCCTAAATCCATACTGACTCTCACTCAATAACTCATTTTTTCCAATAAAACTATCAAATTTTTGGACAAACAATTTCTCAAGGACCTTTGAAAATTGTGAAAGCAAGGACACTGGTCTGTAGTTGGTAAATTGGCTTTTGTCCCTTGTTTTAAAAAGTGGGATAACTTTAGCTATTTTCATGCTATCTGGGAAAATACCTGTCTGAAATGAAAGATTAAAAATGTAGCTTAGCGGTTTAATTATGCAGTCAATAGTCGTTTTCACTATTGTCATGTCGATCCCATCACTATCTGTCGAAGTCTTATTTTTGCATTTGTCTACAATGGATCTAATTTCAATTTAGTTTATCTCTCCCAGAAACATTGACTGCAACACTTTACTTCCCCCAATTCCGCCATCCTCTTTTTGCCCATCGTGTTGTTTTGGAATAGTCTTTGTAAGATTAGGACCGACATTTACAAAAAAAGAGTTGAATTCATGTACCACTTCATTCATGTTTTTTACAACCTTATTTTTGTCATCAATGAAGTGACTGGGCAGGCCAGTGGATACAGATTTATTTCCAATAACATTATTTAAGATTTTCCATGTGCCCTTGATATCATTTTTATTTTATTTTAACATATTATTATAATATTCTCTTTTTGCTTGTCTCATTATAACTGTCAACTTATTTTTATATGCCTTGTATTGCTTTTCAATTGCCTTTGTCCTAAATGTTATGAAGTCTTTATAAATGTGGTGAGCAGCAACTCAGTGTGCACTCTTCAGGCTAGAACAGGGGTTTGCTGTTACCAAGTGATAAGTGATCTAACTCAAACTGGGAAGAAGAGATGGCATCTGGTAAGAAGGTGAGTAAAACACGAACACCAGTTTTCTTGTCTCCTTGGAAGGTGGAGGGAATATATTTCCCAAAGATCTGGTTCAAAGTTATAACGTTCATTCCCCCACACACGTACTGTATCAACTCTTTCTTTGGACACAGCAGGAGGGTAAACTAACCTGAATGTGCATTACTTCTATGTTGTGTTTTGAGTAGGGGTGTAACGGTTCACAGAAGTCACGGTTCGGTTTGTACCTCGGTTTGGAGGTCACGGTTCGGTACGGTTCGGTACAACAAGAAAAAGCAAAAAAAAGTCCCAAATGCATAATTCCAGGTTTGTTGTTATTTATGATTGAACAGTAGTGCAAGTTTCAGTTTAAAAATAAAGAACTCTGACATTTTGAATAATTAACTGTATTAAACAGTTAAAAACAAACCATACACAGTACACTCAGATGGCCATATTATCTATAATGGCTGATGTCAAACAAAAAGGTTTCATCTAGCTGTAAAACTAAAAAGAATGTCTTGAAAATATGACATCATAAATAATAAGAAAGTGTTTCAAGAGCGCAAAGTCGTTGAAAAACATATGCCAAAAGCTTCCGTTATTTATTTGGGTCTCTCGGCTCTCATGTCTATTGGCTTCTTAAAAACAGCGGGGATCAGCTGTTGAACTGCTGCTGTCTTTAGCCGGGCTCTGGTGATTGGCAAATCTGGGTGATGCCTTCTGATATGATTTAGCATGTTTGGCGTGTGTTTCCATGAGCATACCGCACCGCTGTCTAACAACGCCGACACACCGTCCTCGTCCGATCCACCACTCGCACACTCCATCGTTATTGTAGTCCACAGGGAACCCGAAATGTTCCCACACAGCTGATTTAAAAGAAGCAGGTGGGTTCTAGCTCCTGTGTGTTATCTGAAATCGCCATACTAACTTTTCTTCTTCTTGTATTTTGTTCGTTTTGTTGTTGTGTTTCTTCTTGTTCTTCATGTGTTGTTTAAGGGCGGCTGGCAAACAGCTTTTATGCACAATACCGCCCCCTGGATTATATATAGTGTAGTGGATACTGCCCTGAATGACAGACTTTTTTCCCACTCATAAAAAAAAGGCGTATTCGTCGTGTGACTGCGTTTGCCGAACCGTGACGTCTGAACCGTGACGGTACGGGACGAATACGGATACCGTTACACCCCTAGTTTTGAGGCAACATACATGTATATATTTTGTGTATGCAACATCTATGTACTGCAGGTCATAGTTTTCCCATTGATCTATTGACTGTGCTGTTGTTACAGAAACCTTGTCAGTGCAGGTTTTTGGTGTGTGTGCATTTGGTGAACTTGCACGAGGTTTGTGTAATAGCCAGACTAAAGCGGTCACTGCTGGAGAGTCTCGGGCAAAACACTGCTTTTATCTTTGCACCTTTGAACTGCAGCTTCTCTCACATAAACATGTATCTATTGTAAAATGCAAAATGTACTGCAGAACTGTATGACATCAAATTGTATTTTATATTACTTAAAATGACATGCATTCTTTTGTCTGTTTGGTTTGTTGGAAGTTGTATATATTCCTTGTTGTCCTTGTTGAGAAATGAAGACGACAAAAACATCAGGATTCTTTTTTTAAACCATTCAGTGTAAAAAGTGTGATATGCATGTGTCCCTCTGCCCTCACAGGGTATCATTGAGCGTCTGAATGCTGGGGAGGTGGTGATTGGCGACGGAGGCTTTGTGTTTGCTCTCGAGAAGAGAGGCTATGTGATGGCCGGGCCATGGACTCCTGAGGCTACTGTCACACACCCTGAGGCTGGTTAGTCAAGCAGTACATACACATATTGTATCCAAAACTACATGGAGGGAAGGTGCACAGACCTAAAAGAACAACGTTTTGCCTCATAAATGACACATTTGTGTGTTTACTTCAGTGCGGCAGCTGCACAGGGAGTTCCTGAGAGCAGGATCTAATGTCATGCAGACATTCACCTTCTACGCCAGCGATGACAAACTGGAGAACAGGGGTCAGAGCTTAAAAATCGCTGTGAGTACCGAGCCAATGCACCACTGTGCAAGTCTTACAAATTCTAGTTTACTCCACGCTAATTTATGAATAAACATGATGTGATTTGCAAAGAGTGTGATCAATGGTCATCAACAGAATGCCTTAATCTTTCAGGGGACACAAATTAACGAGGCAGCCTGTGACCTGGCACGAGAAGTCGCCAGTGAAGGAGATGCAATGGTAGCTGGTGGAGTGTGTCAGACTCCTTCCTATCTGAGCTGCAAGAGTGAGATAGAAGTAAAGGCCATCTTCAAGAAACAGCTGGAGGTGTTCTTGAAGAAGAATGTGGATTTCCTGATTGCTGAGGTGGATTCATGTCATATCATAGATACTTCAATTAATGTGAAGTATAATCAGTAGAGCAAATAATACCTTGGTGTTGTTTTTGTCCTTGCAGTACTTTGAGCATGTTGAGGAAGCAGAGTGGGCTGTGCAGGTGCTCAAGGCCAGTGGAAAGCCTGTGGCTGCTTGTATGTGCATCGGACCAGATGGAGACATGCACGGTGTCTCACCAGGAGAGTGTGCCGTCAGGCTGGTGAAGGCTGGTACGTTTTCAATGTACAATTTAGTTTCCCTATTTAAAGTCAGCTGTGTTATCTGATATTTCATAAAGCATTTCCTATTTTCTCCAGGTGCCCAGATTGTGGGAATCAACTGCCACTTTGACCCTGAAACCTGCGTGAAGACTGTGAAGTTGATGAAGGAGGGAGTGGAGAAGGCGCAGCTGAAGGCTCACTACATGGTGCAGCCTCTGGCATTCCACACCCCAGACTGCAGCTGCCAGGGATTCATCGATCTGCGAGAATTCCCCTTTGGTAATATTTTTGTCTTGGAAACAAATGTAGGGGACAGTTGTGTATATGGCATCTTTTCACAGTTGTCTCCTCCTTTTTCTCAGCCTTGGAGCCCAGGATCCTGACCCGCTGGGACATGCATGCGTATGCCAGAGAGGCCTACAAGGCTGGCATCCGCTTCATTGGAGGCTGCTGTGGGTTTGAGCCTTACCACATCAGGGCTATAGCTGAGGAGCTGACCACTGAGAGAAGGATCCTTCCCCCAGCCTCAGAGAAACATGGAATGTGGGGTTCTGGTCTAGAAATGCATACCAAACCCTGGGTCAGAGCCAGGTACACCAGCCCAAATATTGATTATACTTGAATGCACACATTTTTGTATAGATCATTTAAAAAAGGTATCTATGTGTAACATGTGTATTTTTGTCCCCCAGGGCTCGTCGTGATTACTGGGAGCACATCGCTCCCGCATCCGGACGTCCCAAGTGCCCGTCCTTGTCCACACCGGAAGGCTGGGGTGTGACCAAGGGCCATACTGAGCTCATGCAGCAGAAAGAGGCCACCAGCAGTCAGGAGATAAAGCATCTGATGGAGATGCAGAAGAAGGCCAAGTCATCTGCATGAGCAAGACGAGGAAACCGAGGCACCCATACCTGCAGTTTGTCAACAAGAGAGCGACGGGGGAAGGAGGGAAGTCTTTCCGGGTTCAGTTTGGATGTCAAAAGCACTTGAAACAGCGAGAGTCTTACTATGTAAACCCCCAAAAATAAACCTGAGTTTGTCACCTATGTTTATGTGTTGTCATTGGGGAATAAGCACTTTTAGACTGTTCCATTTTAAGAAAGATATAAAACCCCAATTCCCATGAAGTTGGGATGTTGTGTAAAACGTAAACAAAAACAGAATACAATGATTTGCAAATCCCTTTCGACCTGATCAATATGTAATGTTTAATCTGATCAACTTTATATATTCACTCATTTTGAATTTGATGCCTGCAACACATTCCAGACACTTCCCTGTTTCCAATTAACCTGAGGAATGTTCCAAACAGGTGTTTTTTGAGCATTCTTCAACTTTCCCAGTCTTTTGTTGCCCCTGACTCAGCTTTTTTGGAACGTGTTGCAGGCGTCAAATTGAAAGTGATTGAATATTTACAAAAAAACAATAAAGTTTATCAGATTGAACATTATATATCTTTTCTTTGTAGTGTATTCAATTGAATATAGGTCGAAAAGGATTAGCAAATCGTTGTATTCTGTTTTTATTGACGTTATACACAACATCCCAACTTCATGGGAATTGGGGTTTGTATGTCATACATTTCACATATGCACAGATTTTTGCCTGGCTTGTTAAAAGTGGTTCCAAAATATCAAGTTATGAATCTGTCTAGTCAGGGTCCAAAAAACATAGACCCACATAAATCAACAGGACAGACAAACACCCCAAAATCTATAATTAACAGGGACACCCACAATACTCTCATTCAGCTAAAGAAGGGAGGGGAGTGAGTCAATATTGCAGTTGTGTAAATTGCCTCTTGCCAATCAGAGCAGCCCTTTCTTTGACCCCTCCCCTCCTCCAGAGAGATTTAAAGTGGCATCCTGCTCCCTTCTAATCCAGTCAGGGGTCCACACTACTGCAGGATTATGGCACCAGCAAAGAAGGTATGAGTGAACTTTTGTTTGAAGGAAGAGTATGTTATTGAGACCATCCTGCAGAAGAGCAACACAGGGAATTAGTTCTGTGGATTTATAATGTCTGTTATGTCTTATTATATTGAGCTGCAAACTAAAGAATGGTTTATGTTTGGCTTTTTTTGCCTAGGTTTTGAGATATTTGTGTCTTAGACCATGACCATATATGTGGTGCTTATTCTGGGCAGAGGGATATAGTATATCTAAGGCATCTTCTGCACAACTGGCATATCTGGTCAGATGTCACTGACCAATTAACCTTCAAGCAGTTCATGTAGACATGTAGTTATAATGTGTCCTGAAAAAAGACCAGACAAAAACTCTTCTCGACCCCTCGCTATACAATAATGATTAAATAAACCTGTTTTTCCTTTTGGACAAATATAGCGATGACGATTATCCCTCATTTATAGTGACTTTAGTTTTCAGTCATGAGGAGCTGTGCAGCTGTTGTCAGACATGTGCTGCTGTCTTCACGAACCAGGGTCATTGAGAGAAGGGGGATGGAACATTGAATTTGGGAAACCACTAAGCATAATCCATATTTTTTCCAGTGTCTTTATTCCTCCGGCCTAATCAAACAGAATCAGTCTGATCCGAGTGAGCCATTGTGATCTACAAGAGTTATTCTAGAGGCTCATCACCAGCATAATATTCATATTTATTCTGCATGATTCTAAGTTGACATTGTCCTGTCATGACAGGGAATCTTGGAGCGTCTTGACGCTGGAGAGGTTGTGATCGGCGATGGAGGTTTTGTGTTTGCTCTGGAGAAGAGAGGCTACGTAAAGGCCGGTCCCTGGACACCTGAGGCCGCCGTAGAGCACCCTGAAGCAGGTGAGAACCAACTATTTTACCAGCTTTTTCTCTATTTCAACCTAAAATAAAAATAATCCTTTGCATGTGTTACCTGCAAATGCCTTTTCCTTATGCATTTTACTGTATGTTACAGTTAAGATGGATGTTTGCCATATGCAATCCTATTTGTTTAATGATTTCAGTGCGACAGCTGCACAGGGAGTTCCTGAGGTCCGGGTCCAATGTCATGCAGACCTTCACCTTCTACGCCAGCGATGACAAACTGAAGAACAGGGGCAACAAGCTCTCCTTCACTGTAAGTTAACGGGGCATCACACCACTCACTGCCATAGGAATAAGCAGAATATCCTGCATGTGGCGCATTGAAAACAGTGACACAACAAACAAAATAAAACATTCGGATGAAATGCCCATTAGCAGTTTTATTAAACTGTTAATCTCAATACAAACTTTCTATTTAAATATGTATTTATGTGTATCAGGGTTGTCTTCTTGATTCTCACCTTTATTGCTCTGTTCTGCAGGGAGCTCAGATCAACGAGGCCGCCTGCGATCTGGCCCGTGAGGTTGCCAACGAGGGCGACGCTCTGGTTGCCGGGGGAGTTTGTCAGACTCCATCCTACCTGAGCTGCAAGAGTGAGACAGAGGTTAAAGCCATCTTAAAGAAACAGCTGGATGTGTTTGTCAAGAAAGATGTCGACTTCCTGATTGCTGAGGTAAGGATAAAAACGTTAGAATAACCATATTCATTCCAGATTTCTTTTGATTTTTTCCTGGATATTAAGAAAATGCTGATGTCATTGTCCTGCAGTACTTTGAGCATGTGGAAGAGGCTGTGTGGGCCGTGGAGGTGCTGAAGGAGACAGGAAAGCCCGTCGCTGCCTGTCTGTGTATCGGACCAGATGGAGACATGCACGGTGTCTCACCAGGAGAGTGTGCCGTCAGGCTGGTTAAAGCTGGTGAGTTCAGTGTTCTTTAATTCAAACAGAACTAGTTAATGGATACAAAAAGTAGTTATAGCGAAATATTAGAGATTCAGGTTTAAACTTGTTCATATAAACATATCTTATCATCTCATGACCTCTCTGCAGTGTGACCTGGCAGGGTCCGATTTCTAACTGGTAGTCACAAGATAAGACACATCTGTTTGTAGACTCTTGGTATCATTAATTAACAACTGGCCCAAACCTACGTGCCAAAACCTTTTTGGCACGTAGGCTGCACCAACATGATTACCATTAAAAGAAACCAGCCAAATGCAAAATGTGTTATAGATATAACCAAAATCTTCAACCACAGTTGTCGCTGTCTCTTCGTCATGTGTTCTTTTTTTGCTCATCTGTAAGAGTCAGCTGACATAAATTCACATTCTTTTATAGGAGCTCAGATTGTGGGAATCAACTGTCACTTTGACCCCATGACCTGCGTAAAAGCTGTCAAGATGATGAAGGAGGGAGTGGAGAAGGCCGGTCTGAAGGCTCACTACATGGTGCAGCCTCTGGCATACCACACCCCAGACTGCAGCTGTCAGGGATTCATCGATCTGCCAGAATTCCCCTTCGGTAATAATATACTGTGCTGCATTTAAATTTGACCATACCACACATGACAATATAGCATAGGCAGTTTAAACCTATATATTTTTCCTCTGACCTGTAATATGTTTATCAATCTTAATTGTTTTGCAGTGATTTGCCTTGTGTCGAAGATATCAGCTATACAAATTCCTGCTATCTTTTGAATATAAAGAAGTTAGACCACACCCAGCTTGTGGTGCTCAAAGTGCCAAAAAATACATTTGTAAAACTTAACAGCAATGTCTTTCCAGTAGCCTAATTGTGACCCAGTATTCAAGATGATACAGACCCTGTTGGGAGTAGGTTCCTGTAGGAACTTTTTTTGTTTTACATAACCAAATCTGCCGATCGTATACTCGCACCGAATGGAGTGAGCATCTACCCGTGGACGAGAGGCTCGTAACAGCTGGAGATGTTAACATTAATAGTGCCTCCTTTGCTGGGCTGTAATGTTAGATTGCTCAGGAAAGCTTCTCGTCCACAAATAGATGCACACTTCTTTCTGTGCAGTGATACACTTGTGATACGCTGGTGTATTTATTAATACATAGCACTACACGTCAGAGGATAATGTGTATTTTTTGTTTTGGGGCTAACTGTCCCTTCAAAAGCAAGTTTTCTCAGTGTGCATGCACATAGAGTATAACCACTGCTAGTGTATTTTTACTTAATCCAGCAAGGTCAATTATTTGATGTAGAAATAAAGAAATTACCCAAAAGCAACCGCTCAGGAATAAAATGTGTATACATCCTCTGTCAGGTCTGGAGCCCAGGATCCTGTCCCGCTGGGACATGCACGCATACGCCAGAGAGGCCTATAATACTGGCATCCGCTTCATTGGAGGCTGCTGTGGGTTTGAGCCTTACCACATCAGGGCTGTTGCAGAGGAGCTGGCCCCTGAGAGAGGTTTCCTCCCAGAAGCGTCAGAGAAACATGGCAACTGGGGTGCTGGTCTGGAAATGCACACCAAGCCCTGGGTCAGAGCCAGGTCAGAAGCAACTTTTAATCCTTCACTCAATATCACCTAAACTCATTCAATTGTGAAAAATATTAAGTGTCAGTGGGTTCTAACGGGTATGATTTTTTGTGTCCTATAGAGCCCGTCGCGACTACTGGGAGAACCTGAAGCCAGCCTCTGGTCGTCCTCTGTGTCCCTCCATGTCTTCCCCCGATGGCTGGGGTGTTACCAAGGGCCACTCTGAGCTCATGCAGCAAACAGAGGCCACCTCTAAGGACCAACTCAAACAGCTGTTCGACAGGTCAAAGAGCCAATGAGTCTGTCTCAGTCAGTTGGCAGCAGGCCTGGGTTAAACAGCCGTGCAGCTACACTGTGGTGTGCATTATCTCTAACAGTGCTGCACCTAACAAGCTTAATGTCAGGGGTCACATCTTCACTTGAGACCATCACTGTTCTGTGCAATGTGTTGATTGTAAGATCGGGACCTTTTTTTCCCCCATAATTCTGGACCAGTTTGTTTAATAGAATATAATCTAATAAAGTGTGAATTGGCCATTTGATGCTTCAGGTGTGGTTTCTTTCAGTGGATTGGTGGGTGGTGGGTGGGTGTTTATCAGTGCTATCATCGGTAGATACAGTATGTG